CAAAATTCATCGGAATCCTGTTTTCTGATTGGTTGCAGAACGTCGTACGACGAAAATCGGATGCAGTGTAAATCCAGCAAATGTGACGGCATCCTAAAAGGCGCAAAAATCGACCAATCACTATTAAGAGCCATAATTCGCACCGGATGTCTGCAAAAGTTACTAAGTATTGCGTCCGTAACTTTAGATGTGTTTTACCTCCTTGCTCCTTGTGTCCCATGGAGCCGTAATCCCATGAAATTTCCGTAAAAATTATTAGTTATTACCAGTAATGCTTTTCCTAATTTTATCTATTTGACTAAATTTGGCGATTTAATTAAAACTTTTGTTATAATCAAAATATATTCTGTAATTTTCTTATAAAATAAAATAAAAATGAATGAGTATAACTTCTTAAATAAAAAATATTACATTTACACGTCCGCATTTTGTGGCTCCATGGGACACAAGGAGCATGTAAACACGCAACGCAATTGTACTCCGACGTCAAAAAATAAACGTGCCATAACCTACCTTTAATTTATAAATAGTGATTAATTTGTTTGACAACAATTTTAAAATTAGAAGTGCATAATGAATATTTGATATATGTTATTAGTGCAAATACAACAAATCTGTCTGTTTTCTGACTCTAAACTCTTTTCGTACTCTAGACTGCACTAGAACTCTCTTTTCACGTAGTTGCGGATTACGTGAGAAATATCTGCCGTACATACGCAATCTCTAGATGTTTTTGCGAACATCCGGTGCGAATTACGGATTGCAGACAGTCCGCTACGTAATCCGCAGCGGACCATATGGGCGGAATCTATAAACGGTGCTCAAGATTCAAAATGGTCTTAAGCTAGTGCATGAACCAATCAGAGAGCCGTATTAGCATCTTAAGACTTAACTGGGTGCATTCAGTACTACAACCGCTCACTGAGCGCTCAGTGAACTCTTGTATCTGTTTGGTCTATATTTTTAGCTCTAATGGAATATACCAATCAGATTCAACAGCTCACTGAGCGCTCAGTGAGTGGTTGTAGTACTGAATATACCCATTGCTTGAGATCATGAAGTAAAATACTAAGGAGACTCCACTCAGTCACAGTATACAGTAGCGCAACTCTATTCATTATGTGAAGCCAAAATCGTAGCGCGTATGCGCAAGTTGAAACATTACATACGGTAACGCCATCTGAACTTTTCTCTCACTTATTCTTTGTGTTTTCGGTCTTTCTCTTAACCGTTGCAGTGTTTGTGTAACAATTGGCGGTAACGGCAGTATTAAGTTCGTATGCTTTTATGTCGGTGATGTCTTGCAAATTGTTTTAGATATTAATAGTGAAGTGAAAAAAAGTAAAGTGAAGTGGATTATTGTGAAGTGAAGTGCAGTGAAGTGAAATAGAGTGAAGTTAAGTGAAAAGAATAAAGAAAGTGACAATTATCCTTAAAGAGAATTGTAGATCTGTACATATATATCGTACAGATTTTCAATTTTCTTGCAGAAAACACTTTGATCTTAGCTCTATTTCAGATATAAAAAGAAAATAGATTACACATCAAGAAAATGAGTGGGAAAAAAATTAAATATTGTTCAATAAATGGATGTCCTGGAAATCTTGAATTAGAAGGAAGACATGTATTTAAATTTCCTAAAAAATATGATAGGTATACCATATATTATACAAATATTTTCAATTTTTTAATATTACAGTAACATAAGACATAACGCAAGAATCAGTCAATCAGAATTAAAAGTTCAAAAGAATTCTCGACTGTGATTGGCTTATTTTTACGGTACGTCTTATGGTTACTGTTACGGAAGATGGGTGCTACAGCCTAAGAGAGTAAGTGAGAGAAAAGTCTAGATGGCGTTACCGCGTAAGTAATGTCTCAACTTGCGCATGCGCGCTACGATTTTGGCTTCATCAACATCAAAAGTGCCGACAGAGAGTTGCGCTACTATATACTCAGTCTAGCTAATCTACGAAACATGGACCGATTTTAGGTTTCGAGTTTAAGTTCCGATTCTCGACACTCGCAGCGCTCGTAAAATTAGTAGTGCTGCGCATAATGAGTGCGCCGTAAGAACTACACAACAGAATGGCATTGCAATTCTCCTATTTGTCTTTAAACATTCAGATTTGGATTTTTCACATTTTTTCGGAAATCGGAATACGGTTTCTTTCCTTCTACCGTTTATAACTATCGTTTCTAACTACGGCGCTAACTTATTATGCACAGAATTACTAAATTCGCGAGCGCTGCGAGTGTCGAGAATCGAAACTTAAACTCGAAACCTACCCCCTTATTACGATTTTTGTGACGAAGTGAAAATTACAAAAATGATCAAATTTACTAGATGTTAACCAATGAAGTTATAAATATTCTAGTAAATTCAATCACTTTTGTAATTTTTACTTCGTCACAAGGAACCATAATAAGCCTCCTAAAATCGGTCCACTTTTATTTTATGGAGTGGAGTCTTCTTAGTATTTTCCTTCATGCTTGAGATTAAGACCGGACTATGGATTCCGGCCAATATGGATTCCAGACGGAATCCATAGTCCGATCTTAATCTCAAGCAATGTTTTAAGACGCTAATACGGCTCTCTGATTGGTTCATGCGCTAGCTTAAGACCATCTCAAATCTTGAGCAATGTCTATGGATTCCTCCCTATGTGACGGCACCTTTATGTCCTTCGATCAATGGACGATCGTGATATCGCTGTGTTCCAAAACGCGTCGGAAAGCGTCTCTGTTGTCAGAGTCACCGAGTAATGCCGAATATACACGGGTATACACGTGTGATGCTGGAGTCTCATGAGGTATATTTACCGCGTATCGCGTAACCGCGTAAAGCGGGGAGCACAGACTCTTGCATAACGCATAACACGTAATGCATAAGAAAATGTACTAATCAAAGCCCTCTGTTTCTTTCCTTTCCATGAAATAAAGAATTCTGATTGATTGAATTTCTTATGCATTACATGTTATGCGTTATGCAAAAGTCTGTGCTCCCCGCTTAACCAATCAGAAACGATCCGCTGCTGTAATCGACTGTGATTCATATCTTACTGATTGGTTAAGCGGTTACGCGATACGCGGCAAATACGCCTCATGGAACTCCGGCATAACGATCCGACGATACTGACATCAGTCTTCACGATAATCTCGTGAATGACGTTCTGATACTTTAGCATTATTTGGTGAGACCTGGTAAAAACATTAATTCACCTCGTGTGTACTTTTTACTCACGAAAATAAATACACGTTGTTGTATCAGTGATAAAGATGACGTATCTGAGTTCGTGGGAAGAATTTGAAAGAGGCGCCGAGAGGTTATACCTGCAGGATCCGATGAACGTACGTTTTATAAGATTATTAATGTAGTTTCTTTAAAATCTTTATGCCGTTTGTCTTTTCGACACCTCGCACAAAAGTCTCTCGATCTATATATTATATATACAACTTGAGATTACGATAACGCATGCCGGAAAAGCATGCTTGTACTTTGATAGTTTCCAGTATTAACATGACATTTTGTGAATGCCACTTTCAAAATGCCCATTCATTCAGTTTGTAATGAATTATTTACATAACTGTCAACTAAAGAGTGATAACAAAAAAATATGTAAGGTATTTGTTTCATAAAGTTTTGTTAATTATATTTTCGTTTAAATTTGTAATGTTCCCTGAATAATGTATAAGACTATATTTGTTCTTCTTTTATCAATTACAATCTTCTTTTGCCTTTTAGTATTGTAATGAAAGCATTGAGAAAAGGAAAAGCAAAATATGATCTAGTAGCACATGATATATGCAAAACTGTAAATTGAAGTACTGCGTATAAATACAATTGAGTGAATAACTACTTATGTAGTATATTAATTTCTCTTTCTATCTTATTTTAGACCCGATATACGATGAAGTATTGTCATAGTAAAGGAGTTTTATGTCTAAAGTTAACAGATAATCGACGGGTAAGCAATTTTAGAAATCTTATTGTATCTTAAGATCAAAGAATGTAAACAGTTTATGTATTTGTTTCTATCGTTAAGAATATCAGCAATACCAATAATCAAAACTGTTTGCAGTGCCTCCAATATAGAACAGAAATAGCTCAGGACTTAAAAAAAATGGAAAAATTCATAGGCAATCTCATGAGACACATGGCTTCGAAAGACATTTAAATAAGATTTGTATGTATAAGGAATATGTTTATCTTGGAGACTAAAACATACTATTTTTATTCAACAATATTTTCTTCTTGCCTGACATGATCTAACGATCCACAAATATTAATTTTAATTAAGGTATGAACGTTATCTTACATGACAAGTGCATATAAAACTTTTGTTTTGTATTAAAATTTTACGATTGTTTTGGATGGCCCCGTTGCCTCCTCGTTAACGTTCTGAAACAATCAAATTCATCGTGTACGTTAAAATAATATACTATTGATACTCTATCGAAGATATAATATAGAGAAGACTTTTTCAACATTTATAATGTATTAACTTTTTTACATCTATATGCAAAGTGTGTCCTTAAGTGATGCATAATGTATTAGATATTAATAAAGCCAGATACAAATCAAATCGAGATATGATTTAATACTTAAGTGAGAAAAAAAGCACAAAGCAACAAAAACAAGCACTTACGATATAATGGGTTGGAGAACAGCATCCAGAGTAGTGTCAACAGGAGGGTAGATTTCTTGATTTGAAGGCAATTCATAGTGTACCTCTCCCCTTAATTGCAATTGTGTCTATACCAAACAAAACCGTTTTACTATCTACTATTTAGAAGAATAGTATCATTCCACATTATATGTTATAACGAAGCTATTATGTGTAATTACTAGCATGCATATATGAAAACTGTGTCGCTGGAAAGGGTATGCGCGATTCTAATACCGCTATCTCAGATATTTATAACGTGATTAGCCAAAACTTGTAGGAAACTAGTAGAAAACCTTAGCCACACATCTGTATATAGAAGCACTTGGTTTTTTGTTTTACAAAAACATGAGTGATTAAGATTTTATCACAATTAGCATTGAATTTTTGTTTACGAGAAGTAAGCGCGAATTATATAAAATTCGTGTTTACTCGTCAATTTTTATTTTTAAATAGCTAATTATAAAGTAAAATTTGCATCGCTCGACCGTTGCTCATTTCAAAACAAATATTAGCAGAGATATGATATAGTAAAAATGCGAGCAAACTGGGATACGTACTACATGAATAGGCTTATTGCTGTCAGCAGAACTTGAGTAGCAGCTTGAAAAGTCCTGCGGTGTGCTTTCCCCGAATCCACTGTCCGCATTATTGCCTATTGACATTCGGTTGCTACGAGTATAATAAAAGTCCTTCTTCGTACTATATTCGTTTCGAGCCCCGGGATACTTTGCCTCGATTCGATTGGACGTTGCCGACAGCAAGTTATAACTTCCATCACGATAATGCCGCATGTGTCTTCTTTCTCTTTTGCCAACGGATCCGACAGTTCTGAAAGGGAATCCTTGACAGTCTGGTACCTCAGTCGTTTTAGCGACAAGTAGATCCACTGTGCTCGACTCAGATTGATGCATGTTTTTCTTTTTTTTTTTGTTTTAGTACGTACAGTTAATTTACACGCACTTCGACTATATTCTCACGGTGCACACGTTATCAAAATTAACGTTTAACGTAAATTTAATCACAGACTCCGCGTTAATACATTCGCTTTTTTTTGTAAACTGTATCGCGGCGCATTTTAAAGCGTAATTTTTTGAAGATACAATAATCGAATGGGATGTACGAGGAATGTCATAAGAAAGACTCGGAACATGAAGTGTCTCGAGCCCCGAACGTTGACATCGTCCGTCCTCCCAAATTACCAACATTTATTACACAAATACATGGCGCATACTGTATAATATACATAATGCATGAGAAATAAAAACACACGGATAAAATATGACCCCAGTATGAAGGCGATCGGCACGCATCGCCTTTGAAATTCCATGGAACACAGCCAGAAGCGAATGAGTGCCACAGCTAGGACGTAAAAATAAACAGGTGCGACAAGCAGTTAATCTCACTTATTTATTAAGGATTCGTCATGCTTCAAATAAATAATAGGGGGCATGCTTACAGTAGATAATATACATGCTCGAAATAAATAAAAAAAATACATGCAAGGGGGAAATCAGGATGAGAGGGTAACTAAACAATGACTACGGATCCCGTCTCATCCTCCAATTGCGGAGGATGGTTGTGGAGATTGCAGGCCGTCTTGAGATCATCGTACCTAGGCAGGGACGATGAATCTGTGTCGTCCAATCGAGAATTGTTAGACTGTAAGGGAGATTGTTGTACAGATTGTGACTGTACCACTGTGTAGGATATCTCTCGACGTTGCTGCTCGCTCATCCCGCTAGTGTCGATTAGGCCAAATTCCAAGTGTCTGAAAGAATATGTTATACTTTTAATGTCGTTCTCACGATCGATAAACTCAGCATTCATGAAAGCATGGACTAACAAAGATAAAATTTGTTCAGTAATTCAAGTTGCAATTCGTATTAAAGAAAAAAATCTATGAATTGTTCTTTGCGGCCACTGCAAGCCTGTCGCGAATATCTCGTGAAACTACGACGCTGTAACATTCGTAGTATTTGAGATATATAATCTATTTACTTTCGAAGTTCATCCGGCAGTGGCTGTTTCTGAGAAGGGCTTCGATGTCTGCTTCTGTGTCTCCTTCTGGGTTCCGTGTGACTCACCTACGGTATATTAATCAAATATCATAAACAAGATAATCTTGTGTAGCGATCGAAATAATGATACTTACGATAGCTTTTTGCACACCTTCTCCTTTTCGTTTTTGCGCCTCTCTCCATTGCGGCTCCGAATCTACCAACTCGTGTCTACTGCGAAAAATAACATATTTGGATTAAGTTAGCATTTATTGATCTAGTCTAAAAGAAAAAATCCCCCCTCCCCCCGTATAGAAAAGAAATCCTTTCATTAAGGAAAAATGTATGCAAAAATAATGATGTTAGCAAAGGTTAATGAACCCGTTATTGATGGGAACAAGACTCATTATAATCAAACTGCTTTAATTACACGCTAATGCTTATAAGGGTTCGTGATTTGAATTCATCAAGGAGGTACTTTATTTACGAAACAATTATGAGAACAAGATATTATCGCAGTGAGAGAGAGAATGCAATGCTAAATAACTAAAATTAATATGTAAATGTACCTAGAGGAACGAGAGTTCCTGTGTTTTCTGCGATGTTTTCGATGGCCGGATCTCGTATCTGAACCTCTCGAAAGCTCAGACTCGCAATCGGAATGTCTGCTATGTCGACGATGACTATGACTATGACTTCGTCTACGGTGACCACTGCGACTATGACTATCCCCCGAACTTTGACTCTCCACTGAGCTGCTTCGACGTTGAAGTCTACTTAAGAGCTATGTCGACAGACAGCGTTTATTAGGCAATTCAAATGCGGAAACTTTATATAATGCACAGCACGGATATGCTTGACCGGTCAACAAGTTAATTCTTTTGTTTATTATGGCCCGGTTTTTTCATCATTTGGTTAACTTGTGGTTGGGCTTAATCTGATATTTTATCCAATAGGTTTCATCTATGATGTCATGGATGAAATTCATTGAGTCACCATCAGGTTACGCATAACACAAGTTAACCAGATGAAAAACCGGGCTTAATGCATACGCATATATATATGACGTTCTCGTTTGAGCAAATGTTGTGATCAACTTTACAGTGAGTTAAGCATAGTCATTGATATACGAGCGAGTATATTACATATAATCATCAACTAACCGCCGGCGCCGTTCCCGCGGAGCGAACGGAACGAGGACTAGACGAGGTGTAAAGGCCGCGAGGTTGACTCTGCGTCCACGGCGCGCTTCTCGTGCTTCTCGGACTCGATGTGTTTATCTGCCTTTGCGTATTGCACAGTATATTACCGCTGGATGGACTGTTGCTTGGATTTGAAATTACGGTGACGGGTGTTTCGACGAACGAACCGACCATCTCTTGACCCTCAACGACTCGTCTCTGCGCTCTTCGACTGGGAGTCCTTTGAAACGGCGGTGGGTTTCGTCTAATGGCCGCGTGCTTCTCCAAAGTGGACGGAGGACTATACGAATGAAAGCGAGAGTACGGACTAAGGGGCGGTGGACCAGTCGCCATTAACCGGAAAAAAGCTTGATGTTCCAAGCAACATTTCCAGAGGTGACGACAGGCTCCTTTCGATGGTGTTTCGAAGCCGTGTGTTCTCTCCTCAGAATTCTTTTCGCTTACTCTTAGCATGAAGTATCTACCCTGAAAGTTGAAGTATTCGTAAAACAAGAAATACAAAGGAAAAATTAATATTCGGCAGTACCGTGTCATATTCTTATGCGTTTCATTGTTTTATTATAAAATCAATTTTCGAATTTACTTGAGAACTAAGCACTTAAAGAAAAAGAAAGAGAGGTAGCAATTTTAGCGAGCTAATAACACTGCAGAAATTATACCTTATAGTAGATTTTATTTATTCGAGGCCAGTAGTAATTTCCCACTTTGGTCTTGTTCCGTAACAATATTATTCCACTCGGTGTTAGACCCAGAAAATATTCCACACTATCCTCACCCTACGAACGAAAATTGTATGATATCGCGAGATTAATGCATATTATCGCGGCATTAGTCATGTCGACATCAATAACACGCTTACGTACCAGTACGGGATGCAAATCTACCCCGTACATTTCCAGCCACTTCACTTTATCCAGATAATTTAATTCCGCTGCTGAAGGTAATTGTCCTCTGAAAAAATCACAAATATATGCACATTCAAAAATTAAATTTACATTTTTCTCCTACTTACATAAATAAAATATCACTAATATAATAAAATAAATATATCAATCAATTGCTTAATCTTGCTAATGCAAAAAGATATGTGGCGCTTTTAGAATTTTTGCACGATTCGATTTTCTAATATTTTTTTTATAAGCACTCGAATTAGTACTTTATAAATACAGAGATCATATGAGTTATAGACTATGGATAGCCGATCGGTTGTCTACAATGTAGAAATCGTAGACGCATCGGGTAGTTTTAACGCACATTATTCGAATATTAATCATCACGGTTGACATACATAAGAGTTTTGTGGATCTCTACTATACGATTCTCCAGTTCCGTGGTTTGGTTGGCGAGAAATCGAAATTCGGTGACGTATCCGGGCGAGTGTCGTCTAGGATCATAAT